GCCTTTGGGCGGAACATACTGGAAGGGGTCCAGCTCGCCATCAACGGCCCAGGGGTCGAACCCCTGCCATTTTATCGGAGATATCTCGATTATAGGGGCCAAACCACATCACTGGCCGACTTCCTGTACTTCGAAATTGAGGTGTCGTGTGTGCTTTTCGTGTGGGAAACAAAGAACCGTCTGGACAAAGTGCGTGAAGTGCGACGTTGGACACTGGATTTCCGGATGTTTCCAAGATTTCCACACGAAGCCAACAGTCCGTTAGAAGACGCAGGTGGGAAGAGAGACAACTTATAAAGCTGGTGACCAAAAATCATGTAAGTAGAAAAAGAATTTATAACTTAAAATTAGATTTTAAAAGCCGGCCGCACGCGTGGACTGTGCGACGACATATGGCGTCATTCGTCCCCTTGACTTTACTTTGATGATGCCATATGGGGTCACTCGGCTCTTAAAGGTTAAAACAGTTATTCATAAACACTTCTTGTTTAAGAATATGTGTACTTGGTGGATCCCAAAGATGTTAACATTGACCAAAAGGTGCATTGTGTCGCTGTGTGTGTGCCGAATATCTGCACCATTTTGAGTTGGAGAGAAACGGGTTCCTAGAGTGAATGGGGTGACCTGTGATGGGACATGAGCTTTCTCTTTCATTCCAAAGTGAAAGCAGTATGTAATTGAACAGTGTCATAAGAATCTCCTTCATCCAAAGGATTCAGGACACAGCTGTCATCTGGCAAGATCATGCAAATATGTTTTGGAATTAAAAGTGATTCATGTTGAATTTCTTGCACATGGTGTAACAGTGAATGCACAGTATTATAGTAATTTGCTTTGCAATGAAGTCCACCAAATAATTCAGAAGAACTTGAGAAGCTGTCAAAGAAATCATCCTACTATGAGGAGTGTTCTGTATATAATGTCTCCTATTTTTTTAATGAAAACTACAACAGATATAGAAAGCATAATAATGCAGTTAAATAGAGCAAGATTTCAGCTACTTACAGTTATTTTTCCACATAATCACCACCATTCGTTATGCACTTTTGCCAGCAATGAACAAGAGCCTGTATGCCGTGCCTGTAAAGGTCTGCGCCAGCAGAGGATAGCCACTTTCTTACAGCTGCAATGACAGCATCGTTGTCTGGAAAATGTTGCCCACATAGTCCTTCTTTCATAGGCCCAAAGAGATGGAAGTCTGAAGGTGCTGGGTCTATAAGGTGGATGTGGTAGGACAGTCCAGCCAAACTTTGCAATGTGTGTCGTGGTCACCAGACTGGTATGGGGTCTAGTGGTATTGTGTTGCAAGTGAAAGGTTGTCTGCTTCTCTGGCCTCACTCGGGAAATGCGGGCTTTCAGCTTACTCAGCGTCGTCTTGTAGGGTTCGGAATTGACTGGTATGGGGTCTAGTGGTATTGTGTTGCAAGTGAAAGGTTGTCTGCTTCTCTGGCCTCACTCGGGAAATGCGGGCTTTCAGCTTAGTCAGCGTCGTCTTGTAGCGATCAGAATTGACAGTCTCACCAGGCTCCAGGAAATCCAACAAAATCACACCCCACCTATCCCAAAAGACCATGCACATCACTTTCCCTGCCGATGGCTGTGTCTTGAACTTCTTTTTTCTTGGCGAATCCGGATGTCGCCACTCCATGGACTCTCTTTTGGATTCTGGCTCGTAGTGGTGACACCATGTCTCATCTCTGGTGATGATGCTGTCCAGAAACTTGTCACCTTCAGCCTCAAACTGGTGAAACAGGTCCTGACAGACTTCCATTCGATGAGTTTTGTGGGACCCACTTGGAACAAACTTTGCAATAATCCAGCTTCGCCAATATCATTTCCAATGCATTACAGCCAATATTAAGCCATGCACATAGTTCCCTGGTCATTATCCGCTGATCTGTTCGGATGAGCTGCTCGAGGCGCTGTTCATTGTGAGGAGTGGCAGCTGAGCAGGGACACCCAGGGCGTGGCTTGTTGTGCACTTCACTTTCACCACTGTTGAAACACACTACCCACTGCCTCACTCGGCTGACATCCACTGTATCGTCTCTGTACACCTTTAGCAAGCATCAATGGATGTCAGTGGGTGTAATTTTTTCAGCAGTGAGAAATTCAATAACACATCTCTGTTTTGTACGTACTTCTATGTGAGATGCATTTTGGTAGACTGCTCTGCTGTCGTGCTGTCGCTCTCTGTCGCTCTCTGTCACATGACAACCAAACTAACAGTACATTGGCGGGTAGGTTCAACCTTTACTACAACACCACCAACATCCAGCTCAGACGTTACATATTAACACAAAAAATTAGGAGGCACATATATGGAATGCCCATCGTACATGACAGCACTTGTCAACATTTGACAGATTTGATGAAGGCAACACTGGCAGCAGTGGGCTGGGAAATCATGGATCACCCTTTATACAGCCCTGAGGTAACCCCATCTGATCGTTTGAACTTGTTATGAAAGTGCACCTAGGTAGACAAATTTAAAACTGGTGAAGAACTTCAATGCCATTTCCTGAACTGGATTTACATGCAGGATAAAATCGTTTATGCTGCTGGAATCAGTAACTTGCCAGCACAGTGCAAAAAATGTGTTATTGAAATATCTTGAAAGTAGTGAGAGTTGGGTAATTCCAGCATGTATATTCTTTCTGGAAAGAAATAATGTCCAGATCGACTGTGAACCACCCTTGTATCTTGGATTGTAAGGGTATTGTAATGAAAGTTTCTTCTTCAGAACCCTGTTAGCGAGCTAAATCTGCTCCATTCATGCCTTGATTCAATTAAGACAATAGTATTATTTTACCAGTTTTCATGAAACGGAATGAAAAGCAGACCGTTTGAGGCCATACCATCTTAATATTTTTTTTTAATTTATGTCACCAAGAACAGCAACTTGTTACTCATGTTGATTGGTCTGCTGCTTATGTCTTATAGAACATTGTATATTAAATTTATTTAGTAGCTTTTAAATACATTTTCCATTAGCACTGCAGTTTGACCTTGATTTACTGATTCCTCCTGTCAGCACTTAGCTTTGGCTGACTCAAAATGTTTTGTCTGAGAGTGAGGTCACCTTTGTAAACACCATAGATTGACGATCACATTTGGCCAGGTATGCTGCCTGTTGTATCGTTTATTTATGAGCTGTGCTCCACTACCACAATATTTCTGGCTCCATTCATGCCCTTTGATGATAGGAGATGAAATAAAGATCCAGCAGTGGTA